CATGAAGGAATGTTAGAAAATATATAACTCCAGTTATTGTTATAACCCAAGGGCAATTTTGGAACATGGAATGGAATTTAGGATTCCATGGTTAGATTGGGCATTTTCATTGAGATTAATGGTGGTTTTATATGCATGACAACTTTAATATGAGTGTTCAATAAATTAAGGAAAAAAATCCTTATGAGTTTTGAATGTTCAACCAAACAATTGGCTACTTAACCCTTCCTATCGAATTTGAGAACCTGTGAGTTTTTAAAAAGGAGTTCAATGAGCACTTATGGATAAAGTGATGTGTTTTTGAATGATAAAACACCTCCTAATCATGTGTGAGGAACTAAACAAATGGTACAAAGTGATTTGGAAAAGGGTCTTCAACAACTATGAAAAGTACAATGTTATTTTGAGAAAAATCAAGTTTGTGTGTGTAGACATGAGAACACGAACCGTGTAAATGCATGCTTTAATTTACACGACCCGCGTAAATCCATGATAGAGGTTTTCTTGTTTTCTTCATAACTTTTGTATACGGACTCGGATTTACGCATGGTTTTTGCCAACATTCATATTTTTGCATGAGGAATAATTTGAAACAATAAAATTTAGTAATGGAAGCTATGAGCGGTATTTTGGTCATTTTAGTGACTTATGTCCATATATGGTGTAGGTAGTGTTTGAAGAGGATTGATCTAGGGAAAGGAACTAGAAGAGCATTAGCTAATCTACGTGTGATTAAGGTGAGTATGTGTTGACATTTTTCCCACTTTGGGGTACATGGCAAAATGATTTTATGATAACGAAATGCAATCTTTGATATATGAATAATTTTGAAAACAAAGTGTTCAATGTTTTTGGAAATAATTATTTTGAAAGAACGCCTTGAAGGCAAGAATGTTTTTAAAGGAAAGAAAGTGTTAGAAGAACAAAGGTTTTGTTAACGTATTTTAAATGTTTTGAAATATAGATGCTTTGCTTTTTAAACGAGTATTTTGATACTAATGTATGAAATATGTAAATCATGGAAAGTAATGAAAAAAACGGAAAGAATGGAAAGAAACGGAACGTAATGAATAGAACGAAAAGAAATGGAAAGTAATGAAAAAAATGGAAACAAATGTAAAGTAATGATTAGAATGGAAGAAATGGAAAGTAATAAAAAGAATATATTTCTCGAGCCATGATGTTCCCGTAACGGGATATAAAGGAATCTATCGGGGTGGCGCCTCCCCTTCGAAAGATAGATGTCCTAACGGAAATGATTCCTTGGTGGACTGGTTTTGTTCTTCCCACCTTGGTATAGACTTGGGGATATTGCTACGCCCTAAGTATAAAAATGGTAACTGTTTAATACCGAAATTACCCTTAATGGAAAAATGGAAATGGAAAAGAAGCTAATGAAATGATAAGATAAGAAATGATTATTATGACATGACATGTATGAAATGATTTTTCCTTGAAAACTCTTGAAAATGTTTTGTGGTCTAAAACTATGTACGCAAAGATGAAAATGTGTTAAATGTTTTGGGTCACAAACCCACGTAGCTCACGAGACATTATTGTCTTACGTATCTCTTTTTAATGTCATGTATCTCAGATTACCTTTAAGGAGAGAGGATGATAGATGGAAGTTAAAAGTCAAGTTATAGAGAATGGATGTAACATCCCGAGTCCAGGTATATCTTGTGAACCTTGATTTTTTGAGCTATTGTCTATTTTGGCCCTTATTATAAAAAAAGAGTGAAAAACGAGTACGTGAGGTGTGCCTGAGGTGTACGCTTAGCGTACTCGTTATCGTGCATGTGGCGCGGAGACCACCTAGTACGCTGGGCGTACTAGGCCCAGAGTGCAAACCCTAATTTAGGGTGAGTCCCCTATATAATGGATATGATGGCCTCATTCCTAGCCACCATTCCTAGAGAGAAAACCCTAAGAGAGCCCTAACCTCGTTCTAGAGCTTTTGTGTGTGTGTGTGTTTAAGCGTTGAGAGTTTTTGTGTGGTTTTTAAGAGAATAGGAGGCCTTGAAGAAGAAGGAGTTGGATTCCAAGCTTCTAGATCCGAGCAAATATGAGTAAGGAGCTTCTTGTTGAGGTATAAAGCTTTATACTTTGCCTCTATTTTGTTATGAGCATCTTAATTGAGCATTTTAGGGTTTTGTCCCAGAAAGGTGGAGACTTGATGAGATCTTGAACTCCAGAGACTAGGACCAACCCCTTTTGAGCATATGAGTAGTGTAATGTCATAAAATCCAGTATTGGATGTTGAAATCACTCCATGCATGAGTTATGAGCTTCCTTGAGGCATAAGAGTGTATATTTTGAGGTTGGTGACCTTTTCAGCCATGCAAAGGGTTAAAGTCATTGACTTTATGCGTTAGGAGCTATTAGAGAGTGTGGATCTATGAGATGAGCCAAGGTCTTAACTGTTTAAGACCAAATGAGTGAGAATGAGGAAACTAGAGAGTACGTTGGGCGTAAATCTAGTACACGCGGCGTACGGGTTGCGCATCCCCGATGTCGGCATGGCAGCCAAGTACGTGTAGCGTAGAGATCGAGTATGCACAACATACTCCCTGCCTTTGACTTTCATTGATTTTTAGGGTTTGGTCAAGTTGTGAACTATTGAGCCTATGGAGGGATAAAATGGTCTTTTACCCTTTTGTGAGTGTAGAAGGGTGAGTCTAGCTTCTTGAGGACCAAATTAATTAGGGGATAATTATTATATGATGGGCGGAGGCTAGACTGGTGGGTAGAGTTCGAGATTTCTGAGTGCGAGGTTTTCATTGCTTGCTTATGAGGTGAGTCTTCTCACTATACTTACCTTGAGTGGTAATTTATGTGTGACCAGAGGGTCTTATGTGTATGTGCTATGTATTGAGATATCCTGTTATTTGTTCTGTGATATGCTTACTATGTATTATATTGAGTTGCTGAGTTGAGGGACCAGAGGGTCCACCTGAGTTGTGGGACTGGAGGGTCCCACTGAGACACATCGACTGGAGGGTCCTACAGAGTTTTAGCCTCGAGTGGAAAATTTGTTGTATGTGGTATTTTGGGGAACTCACTAAGCTTTATGCTTACCGTGTTATGTGTTATATGTTTCATGTAGTTCTGAGGATCGCGGCAAGGCACGAGCATGATTGTACACACTGGCGAGAGATTGTTTTTATGATTCTGGGATTGTGTTTTCTTTTGTTGACATTTGAGACATATGTGATTTTGGGAATTATGAAATGAGATATTTTGTGTTTTAAAAATGAGAAAAATTGTTTGAAAATTTACGTCGTTACAATGGAGTGGAACTTGATGAGTTCCTTATTATTTTGTATTGATGTAATTCTTATTTTCTTGCTATGGATTTATTGATGCTTAATGGTAACACACCATGTTTTAATTTATATAGGTTTTGTGGGATCGGTTTTTGTTAAATGTGGGTTAATACCCGAATGTTTTTAAAACCATAGCATGAAAAAGGTTTTGAAAAAATTGGGGTGTTAGATAAACCTTTCTAAGACCTCTTATGGACATGTGCAACGAAAACACATGTACAACAGTTTAACAAAGGCATGGAAGAGCTAAAGAAACTGAACAATGATTGTTATGAGTGGATTAAGATGATACCACCTCAGCACTGGTCTAGGTCACATTTCACTGGGATAACCTGCATTATGTCTTCGTGATTTTATGTTGTGTATTATTCTAAGCTTACTGAGTTAGGACCGGAGGGTCCATCCGAGTTGTGGGACCGGAGGGTTCCACTGAGACACATTGATCGGAGGGTCTTATCTGAGTATAGCCATGAGAGGCTAATGAGCTATGTGTGGTATTTTGGGGAACTCACTAAGCTTCCTGCTTACCGTGTTATGTGATATGTGTTTCAGGTACTTTCCAGGATATCGGGAAGGCACCGACTCGATTGTACACACCGATTTCGAGATCATGTGGATTTTGGGATAGTGATAATTTTTGTGTGGAGTTGTGTTGACACTTGAACAATTATGTTTTTGAGAAATATATTATGAGTTTTTATGTGTTTTAAAAATGAAAATTTTGTTTGAAAATTTACGGTGTTACATTTTGTTACCAAATTCACCATAATTTTTTGACCAAATATTAGCAATATATTACCAAAATATTATTAAATTCACAAACACTTAATCAAAATACATTCCAAAAACACTTCAAATTCACAGACAACAACCAACTACATGGATCATTAGAAATACTTCAAAGTCAAAATAAATTCCAGAAAGACATAAACATCCTACATAGCATACTAGTTGAATATTCTGAAACACTACAACTTGTAAATAATTATTCCAATGAACACCCAACTTAAAAACATGATCATCTTTAGCAGCCGATTCTCAACTTCAACTTTGTTCTTAGCCTTCAACAACCCTGGAAATATCTTAGTACATCGTCTACATCCTTCATCATTAACCCATCTAATAAACTTACATTTAGGTCCCTGTAAAGTTCAAATCCAACCAACTTACGATCACCATCACACAAAAGCTTGAGTTAGAAAGAATCAAAACGACCTTACCTTCTTTATGCATCCATAAAACTTTCTTCCGGGGTAGTCTTTAGTCTACGAAGTTAGTATAACACTAGGTTGCCCGTAATTACATTTCACCATTGCTGATTTTTTACTTGTATGAAAGAGATTAAAGAAAGAGGAGATGAACTGAGAAAACGAATGTAGATGAAGAAAATGTGATGCTTCTTATGACTGATCTAGGGTTTTTGAAGGGGATGAATAAGTAAAAGGATGAAAATACCCCCAACATGCAAGGCATGTGGGGGTTTTAACTCTAAAATCAAACAACATGTTAGATTAGAGACCAGGTGTGTAATAAATCAAACAATTAAGGATCGGCAAGGTTAGAAAATGGAGTTAGGGACTAGCCACGTAACAAACACCAAACCATAGGGACCATTCGTGTAATTTGTTTCAAAATTTAGGTGAGTATTTAATTCCAAAAACTGTTAAAACGGCACCCACTTTGAAAAAAAAAACCAAATTTTAGTTTTCTATTTCAAGAAACATTCAGTTACAGAAACTTCTGAGTTTGAGGATTTCCATCCCGTGAATCTTTGAAAAGTTCCTATGTCAAGAAAACCACTGTTCAAAGAACCCCCAAAGCCTCTGGGATCGTTCCGTTATTTTTCTCATATCGATGACGGAGGAGACGAATGGACTCCGGCGACCACCGCTGTCGTCTTCGGCGGAACCAACGCCCGCCGAGTACACAGGAAAAAGAGGGCCACCATTTCTCGAATTCATTGCAATCATGATGTGGCTTGGCACTCTTCATTTTCTCGCTTTTCTCGTCGTGGCTTCCTTCGTATTGCTTCCTCTTTCCAATTTCCTCATGTTAATCACCTCTCCTTTTTTCTTTCCCTGTAATCGTGTCTCCATCAATCATGGGTTTAGGTTTTAACCACAATCTCATTCAATTTCCATCTTTTCTTCTGTAATTTTTAATTTTCAGGGTAATTGCAATGCTTCTGGTGCTTACATTCATCCCCATTAACGACAACTGTAAATGGGGCTTAGCCTTAGCCAGGTTGATTATTTCCCTTTCTCCCAATTCGTATTCCATTGACATAAAAAACCAAAACCCCATTACTATCATCTACTCAAAGTCGATGCAATTCAAATTTCCCATCAATTTCAGGTTCATATTCAAGCATGTTGGTGGTTATTTTCCCGCCACTATATACGTCGAGGATATCAAAGCTTTCGATCCTGATAGGGCTTATGGTAAAAATGCTTTCTTTTTGGCAATCTCGGGTTTTAATCAACAAGAATCGATCTAAAACTAAGATAATTGTCCTTTGTTATTTGTTAATACAGTTTTTGGGTTTGAGCCACATTCAGTTTGGCCTATGGGAGCTGGAATACTAGCAAATCTTACTTCTTTCATGCCTATTAAAAAAGTCAAGATCCTTGCAAGTAGTGCTGTAAGACTTTTTTACCCTTGATGCTTTTAAAGTTTGAATTTTGTATGCTTTAAATATTCATATTATTATGAAGTTATGATAAAAACGAATCAGGTGTTTCGTACCCCTTTGATAAGACATTTATGGACATGGCTGAAAGTGTCATCAGTAACAAAGAAAAACTTCATCTCTCTTTTGAAAAATGGGTGTAGTTGCATAGTGATCCCAGGTGGAGTACAAGAGACGTTTTTTATGAAACATGATTATGAGGTTTGCACTTTGCATATTCCCTTTTGTTATTTAAATGTTCATAAGATGAACAAAAACAAAGATGATTGAATAGATTAATTAAGTCTAAGTTATTTATTAATAAATAATAAAAAATAGGTTGCGTTTCTAAAAACAAGGAAAGGATTCATACGCCTTGCAATGGAAAACGATGCTCCTGTGGTTCCTGTTTTTGCCTTTGGCCAGGTATTTATTTACATGTCTTAATTGATTCAGCCATATTGTCAACTTTTCATTCCCAAAACTAAAACATGTCTTAATTCATTCAGTCGTATGTTTACAAGTGGGCGAAGCCACAAGGGAAGTTCTTCTTAAAACTCTCTCGAGCCATTAAGTTCACGCCTATGATCTTCTGGGGGGCATTCTGGTAATTATCAACCCAATCCATCATCATCATCATCATCATCATCATCATCATCATCATCATCATCATCATCATCACTCACACTTTTTTATTGTTTGGAGGTCTTTTGTACCCTTTCGGAGACCAATGCTTATGGTGATTGGAAAACCAATCCATTTCAAGAAAAATACTACACCTACCATGGAAGAGGTATTAAAATTCAAGTTATTAAATATATATATATATATATATATATATATATATATATATATATATATATATATATATATATATATATATATATATATATATATATATATATCATCAACCCTCTCTAATTTTATTGATTAAAATATTTTTCTAATTTTGGTTTTTATAAATTTTGTAGGTTTCGGTAGTACATGGTCAGTTTTTGGAAGCACTTCAAAGTCTATTCGATAGGCATAAAGAACGAGCTGGATATCCTAATCTTGAGCTACAAATAATATGACCTAATGCATCATCATCAAAAAAGAAAAAAAATTTATTAGTCAGAAATTATTTGATTATTCTAAAGAGTAAAGACATTCAATATTATTATTTATTTGTGTTATTGTTACCTTAAGTAAGTAACTTTAAGTAGCATGTGTTTGGTTTGTAATTTGTAAATAATAATTTAGTTTATTGGAGAAAGTGATGCAATTTTGTTATTTATTATTTGTTATTTAGACTTACAATGTCCAAAATTCCAAATGGGCTTGAATGTATTTGATTAAAAAAAAAAAGGGCCCTATTTGCATTTACTTGTGTGGACTTAAATGCTATGGATCTGGTCGCAAGAGGGGTCGAACGTGCTTTTCATGTAAGTGGAGGGTTCAATATGTAAATATCTTTGCAAAGTTTCTGTGCAAGATCACCACTCGCCACGCGTCTATTAGCGGCGGGAAGGAGCCAGGAATAAATGCACTTCACCAGTTGTTCACTGCCATTACTCTTGATTTGGGATAACAAATTTAACACACAAGAGAAAATAATTTCGTTCGATTGATTTTGGGAGTTTCAAGGTCTTGGAAGCTCGATTTCGACAGGTAATTCTTTAATTCAATTGTTATGATTGTAGGGTTTGAATGTGGTCGGAGAAAGGGTAGTTTGGTCATAAAAACCTGATTTTCCAGTGGTTGTCTCACCACATTCTACCACCCCGCCGCCTCCAGTGAGCCCTAATTATGGCTCTACATGGCGATGGTGGCCATTGTCGGCCAACAATTGGTGGAGGTGGATGTGCTTACTTATATGGTTGCAACCGGGTCTTGGGTCTTCCGACCTAAAATTATATAATTTCTGAATCTCTCTAAAATTATAAGATAAGATTTTTGAAAAGAGTTATGTTAAAATACATTTGCTTGGATTAGATTCAAATTTCTAAGTTTTTTTTTTTTTTTTTTTTTTTTTTTTTTTTTTTTTTTTTAATAAATTGACAGGTGTCCTAAAAAGTAAAATTGATAATGTAGCTTTTTAAAGAGTGTTTGGGATTGTGGTTGGAAGGAGCTATATCTTGTTTAAATAAAATGAAAAGACCTTATTGACTTAAATTATAAGGAATTCTAACTTATTTAAAACAACTTATAATTGATCTAAACCAATTTAACATATTGATCTTATTTTAGTTAGTTCTATATGATATGATTAATTATTTGTAACATGATTGTGGTTGTACCGTATTGATCTTATTTTAATTAATCCTATGCTATATTTAATTATTTGTAATATGATTGTGGTTGTTTTGGTACATGTCTTTTATTTGTTTTCTATTACTTTTCATATATCAAGGATTCAAGTCTAACCATATATACACACAAAATAGTAGTATTTAGAAAATTCATTTGAGCCAATGTTAAAGTTTGAGGAATATATAATATGTGGTAGTTGTTAGGAATAGAGGTAAGAAGCCAAATATTGGTATTTTTTCGTGTTGATATTTTCATCAATATGTATTGAACCATATTATTATTTGAAAATTTCAATTTAAAATGAAAATTTGAGATAATCTCTCAGGTTCCACTAGGTTTTAGTCACAAAAATAGACCACAATGGTTTTGGATAAGTATGTATTGCGTTAATGTTCATAAGAGTGTTCCAAATTAGCAAAATACGAGCATATATACTCATTTATCTGAAAATTGGATAAGAACAACAAATTTTGTAGTTTGTGCAATCATAAAACTGTTTTGTTCTGAACTTAGCATGTTTATTCGACTTTGTACCAAAAATATTTTTTTTCCAATACATTCCAACTCCAAGATCTTATAGAGCTTTTAGGATATTTCCCTTTGACTCCTTTCATCGTGTTATGTATCAAAGTCACCTTATATATAAATGCAATGCAAACTTTGTTCCACATAACTTTTATTAGATTATAGTTTGAATCCTCGTTTGACACTCGTAGTAACTCCAGGTACATGTAATGACATGCGACACTAAAGTCACCAACAACAGTCTGGATTATTGTTTTTAGTTTTGCAATAAATCCTTACGAGAGTCATATTAAACATTTTGTTTAGCTTCGATTTTACAAGATGACCCTTCTCCGTCATATTTATATATTTATAAAAAGTTACCAACATACCTATATGTCAAAATATTATTCTAAATGATAACAAATAGGTTGTTACAAAATATTATTCTAAATGATAACAAATAGGTTGTTATATTTAAAAATAAATGAATAAGTCAATAATATATAAGGATATGTTTTTGGTTATATTATATATATATATATATATATATATATATATATATATATATATATATATATATATATATATATATATAATTTTCAAACAAATAACTAACAACTTATTAACTTATTCATTTTGTTACCGTAAGTATAATTTTTTCAAAAAAACTATGTGTTCGTAGTGCATAACTGAATAGACACTTTTGAAAAAAAGAAAAAAACATTAGTTTAAATAAAAAAGTAATAAGCAAAATCTCAAACACTCCCAAATGTATCATCAGTTTTCTTTATTGCTATATTATAGATTTATAATTAAGTAACGAGTTTTTAAGACATGATCCCCAAAATAGTCAGGATTTCAATAAAATAACTAATGTATTACTTTATAACGAGTCTGTGTGAAGTTATTGCAACATATCCCCCGACCCCCATCACAAGAAAAGCTGTTTTTTTTTTTTTTTTTTTTTTTTTTAATGACATTATTATAAAATGGTTTATATTATTGTTAAATTGTTAAAAGCCATAGCAAATATGTTCATATAATCATATCATTACGAAATTATCATACTATTACAAAATATATAAATTCTTCATCGAATTTATTTCTTCGTTGTCAAGTTTTCTTTATGGAACAATTTCTAATGGAATCGTTGCAAAACAAGTGATTATTTTTGTAAAAAGTAAAAAATATATATACATATTGATAAACTTACATTATAATGTTAGTTGAATATTTTACTTAATGTTGAAGTTCATTTTAAAATTTGATTCTAAAAGTAGTTTGATATAGGAATAAAAACTAAAACTACACTTATTAATAGTGGGCAGTGGCTACCCTATCATCATCTATAAGTTTTTGCAAAATAAATATTATATAAGATTTGTTAAGTTAACCCAAATCTGAAATATCTAGTTTGCAGCATGAACATGGGTTCCCTAGTTTCCTTGAAGTTCACAATATCTATCTTATCTCAAAATTAAAATTAAAATAAAAAACAAGAATAGAATAAGATATTAAAGAGTTGAAACTTTAGGTACCATTAGGATCTACACTCATAAACTAGAAGGACTAAACATGCAAATGTTTCAAAATCACACTTTTGTTTTAGTTGCTTCATATTGTTTTCGCTTGCTTCATAGTTCATATTTTAACCACGTTTACAACTCCCAAAGCTTTCGGGACTGTTCACCCGCCATTTTCCCCATGTCCGATATGGAGGAGAGGAACGGAATCCTGAAACCACCGCCGCCGTCGGCGGCGCCGGCGGAGTTCACAGCAAAAATGGTTTCACCAATTCATACGTTCTTTGCAATGATAATATGGCTAGGATCTGTTCATCTTATCGTTTTTCTCAACGTTGCTTCCTTCTTATTGCTCCCTCTTCATAAATACTTCATGTAAGTTTTGTTTAATGTGTTTAAAAGATAATTTAGTTTGATTTTCATCTTGATTTTGTAATTTTTCTTTTTCTTTTTCAGGGTATTGGGAATACTTGTGGTGCTTATGTTCATACCTATTGATGAGAACAGTAAATGGGGCATATCTGTAGCCAGGTATTGATTTTGCAAGTTCGATGTAGTAATTTTTGAATCAAATTTGAGTTAAAAGTGCTTTAGATAAAAAGTTGCTGCATTCAATTTTTTACATGTTAAAAATAGAATAAAAGTTTTAAAAAGTTATCTAGATCTAAGAAGTAAGAACACTCTTTGATAACTGGGATGCTTGGTTATTTTCTTAATGATAACTAAGATTGAATATAAAATGAAGAATGAAGAACTTATAAGTTTCTTAAACTAGAAGTTTGTGTTGATGAATAGATAAAGTTGGTTTGTGAAGTTATTTTAGTATGTTTCTCTTTGTTCAGATTACTAAAAAAAAAGCTTTTCATTATCAATGCTACATATATATGTTTTGGAATTTGAAAGTATTTTAGTATGTTCATGTAGTCTTTTCAGCCCCAAAAGGAGTAGCTTTGTATCCTTTTTATAGATCCGCTAAAAATCATTTGTTAATTGGTATATATATTCTATCAAGTGGATTCTTTTCATGAGAAAGGAATTGTTTACATCATTACAAAGTTTCTCTTTTTGAGATGTGATAGTGGTATACCACTTACTCTTGATAGAAAGTAAGGGGTTGTATAAAGAAGGAATTTATTTATTTATTTTACCGAATGAAAGAGTTTAAATATGAAAAATAATCATTTTACCCTTCTATTTAAAAGTAATTTCGAATAATAATTGATTGTTTATTTGAGAACCATCACAAGTTTGACAACAATTGTTTGTTGACAATAACATTGTGCTTTCATTTTTTTTTTTTTTTAAATTTATAATCTTAACCAAAATTATCCACAATGGGATATGCCCAAACTCAAAAGATTAATTGGATGTAAAGAGCTTACAAACAAAGATAAATAATATAAATTTTACACTAGTTACATAATATAATTTCGCCATTTCGATATGAACGACATTAAATAATTTTTAAAATTTTTTTTCAATGGTTACATGATATTTTTATACGATGTGAATATATGTCGATGTTTTTTTAGTTCGGCTAATTGGCAACAATGCAAAAACAAGGTCTTAATGCATAAAGACATCTTTCTCTCCCTTAACCCATTAATCCCATCGCTTTATATCAAGTCTAAAAGAAACATCACTATATATTAAGCTACATTAAGTCCAGTAAGTCAAAATGGAAAACAACACTCAAGTCCATGATACAACTTTTGGAATTCGAACTACCAATTGTGATAATTTAATTTCTTTGAATTTAATTATAGCAATATCCATCAACTAATTAAGTAGCATTTCATTAATACTTCCCATCAATTTAAGGTACGTATACAAGCATGTGATTGGTTATTTTCCCGCTACTCTATACGTTGAGGATATCAAAGCTTTCGATCCTGATCAAGCTTATGGTAATTTTAACATAACTATCATACATGCTTCAT